GGGAAATCATATTCTAAATAAAATAAATCAAACACACAAGTTTTAAACTCCACATTAGTTCTCTGTGTGAGGAACCCAAGATGTAAGTGAGGAGTGAAGTACAAGACAGGCATTTGGAAGAAGCAAGAAATTGTCCAAAGGGGAACACAAGATGGTGGAGGAGGAGGCGAGGACAGGGAAAGGGACTTGAAGGAAAAAGGACTGAAAGGAAAAATGGAAGTTGAACTTTTTGCATAGGAAGATAGAGACGGTTTGTTGGGAGGACAAGGGAAAGTGATGACAAAAGAGAAGGATTCCCCGTGTCAGGTGGACAGAGGAGCCGCCCAGGACAGTGCGCTCACTGTCCCCTGCACACACGCCTAACAAAACAGGCAGAGCAGGGACCACTCTGCACGGTGCACAGAAAACACACTTCAAGTCCAGGGTGCAGCTCCAGGAGAGGACCGAAAAGCATACGGGAAGGCAACGAAAAGAAAATGGGAACAGCTAATTCCAAAAGAAATTTCAGAGCAAAATACATCACGTGGTATAAGAATTCATCAAAAGAACACTAAAATCTTATTTACAGCTTAGCTGTTTGAGGCACTGGGGATTGAACTCGGGCCCTATGCTCACACCTCACCACATCTCCAGGCCTTTAAAGACAAGCTTCTTATTTTTCACTTTGAGACAGAATCTTGCTAAATCTTCTGAAAATATCCAAGGCAAACAGAGATATAATCGCAAGAGAAGTACACAAATCTGTCAATACGACTGTGAACTTACACTTTTCACGCTAGGTGAGGTATAGGCAAGTCCCTTAGAAAGCCAGGGAGGCTTAAGAACACTTGAACATCCCTTCCACCAACAAATTGGAAAATAAAATCAATATATATTTTCAGGCTACAACAGTGAGATAAAATTCATTCACAAGCAATTGTTTTTTCTATTTAAAAAAGAAATGCATTCTTATATTACTAAGGCACATCTTTAACATAAATGGAGATCAAGAATTATTTTCAGGGCTGGGTAGATAGCTCAGTAGAATAAGTGCTTGCTTGGCAAGCGCAAGGGCCTGAGTTCAAAAAAAGAATTACTTTCATGATTGAAATCTCTAATCTTATTCTTCTTTGCATCTATTCCCTGAACAGCCTATATAAATACTTCACTATTATACATGTGGTACCTAGTACATATTATGTGTGGATAACAGACACAATTACTTACCTGTCTTAAAATTAATTTCAAGGCTCTATTGGTAAAATTTAAATTTTTCTCTTATAAAACATATACTCTATATATCTCAGTGTCTACATTAAAATGTGAAGGAGAGGAACTGGAGCAGTTACTTGCCATACACTGTGGATGACATTTGTTTATTGTTCATAAAATAAATATTTACAAAAACTCAGTGTTCATTCAACTTATGATGTCACTGATCATAAACCATGTATTAACTTAAATTGTCCAAGGAAAGAATCACTGTGATTTCTTAAGAAAACCTAGGATTAGAAGTCCCACGCAACCCATCTATTTCTCTTTTGAGTATCCTCCCAGAAGAGTTAAAAATATCAGAGCACAGCAATCCTTGTTCACTTGTGTTTATAACAACACAACTTGTAACAGCTGAATCTTGGAAACAACCAAAAAGGCCATTAACCAAGGAATAGTTGGAAATGGTTCATTGTTTTATAATGGAGTTCGACTCAGTCATAAAGGATAAAATTGAGACTTTGTAGGTAAATGTATGCAAGTGAAGACCATGTACACAAGTGAAACAAATCAGACCCACATTTCTCAGCATTTCATTGTCTCTCTGGTTTGAGGAATGGAACGAGTAAGATCCAAAATCTA